GACTGCGGGAACCACCAGCCTCCAGCTCTGAGAAATCCCTTCCTCCCTGCCTGTTCCAGAGCCCTGCTGCTCCACCCAGCCACTGGGGCCTGCTCTGGGCCAGCTGTCATCGAGCAAGATCCCCTGTTGTCCAAAGAAGCAGAGGTAGGCAGGACAGCAGACCCTGCTCCCTCTTTCTGGGCTTGTATGGCTGAGAGTGATCATCAGAAGAGAGAAGGGGGCTGCAAACTGAAACAGATGCTTCCTCTCTCTCCTTCCTCTCTCATCTAGCTGTCTCTCCTTCCTGCCTTTCTTCATCTAGCTGTTTGCACGACTCTCATCTGCCTGGGAGACTCACTCCCACCCACTTCCTTCCTCCCTGTCCCTGGTCCAAAATGTTTGCAGTTGCAACTTTTCCAAACCATTACAAACCTGCTTTGAGAATTGAGTTTCTCTTGTGGGCGCCCAAATGTGTCACAGCTCACAAGTAACAATGACAGTTTTCCAAGACTCTCATCAAGCAGACCAGGAGAGGAGATGGAGATACCTGGGGCCTGGGAGCGTTGGGGACACGGTTCTCTGAAAGTACATCATGCATATGACACTTCCAGCGTGTTCACCGGGTCTGCCAACTTCCTCTACTGTCATTTAGGCCAACCATGTTGAGTACGTGTGACACCAGAGGCACATCAAACTGTAACTTGATTTTTGTCTCCTCTGCCCCTTTGTGATGAAGCCAGGGAAGCCCTGGCAATCCACTCCCATCAAATCCAATCTTCAATCTTTATTCAAAGGTGACACTTCCTCAGCAAAGATGTGAAGCTGGCAGGGCTATCCGCTCCCTTTCTCAGCTCACCCCTTTCCAGGCTGAAGGAAGGAGAGATAAGGGGACAGGAAGCAGGAAGGCTCTTCATGCTTCTTGGCAGAGACAGGGACTGAAATGCTCTGCCTCTCTGGGCCTGGCAGACATTGAAGCTGCCTCTTTCGGGGGTGCCTTTTGCTGGCTCCCTGGGGTTGCCATATTGGACTCTGACTGTAACAGCCCTGAAGCGGGCACACACATTCTCTGTTTGTTGGCAAGTCCAAGCCTCGCCCTTGGCCTCCGGCTTTCTGGTGTCTGCCCTGCATGGTTATCACTGCTGGGGCCCCTCACTTTCTGTCCAGACCCCTCTGGCCCAGGCTGGCTCCCACTGGGGAATGTCTACTGCCTTCCATCTCCTGGAGAGACGAGAAGGCAATTGGCCCCCTTCCCATGCTCTCTTTCCCCTTTTGCCCAGCCAGTCTCTCACCTTCCAGCTTTCTCACACAGGCCTCAGAGGCACGGCCACTCTCCCTCCCCCTCCCAGGGACACAGGTCATATTTTAAAATCCTTGATCTGCCAAGAGCGCCAGGAGTCATGGAGTGGGCTCACACTGTTCCTTTGTCGATTCTTTGCTTTGGCCTGACCACTCCATTTAGCATACAGCCTCTCATGAGTCCTGGTGCCCAGGTGGAAGTTTTGATTGTAACACTCTCTTACACTCGCTCTCTAAGTCTTGCTTTTCCCCCTTCTTGGAGACAAGTTGCCCAGAGCTCACCTGTGCCCTAGTCCAGTTCTCCTTCTCCATGTGGGGCCTCAGGCCTTCCCTCCATTCCAGCAGATGCCCTTGCCCAGGGTCCTTGGTGCTGTGCTCCTGTCTGGGGCTTTCCAAGGTCTCTGTGCATATTTGGTGGGGGGGGGGGGGGGGGGGGAGGGCCTGCCCGAGAGTCTTTAAGAACGGGTGCGCAATGCCACAGATAACAGTGCTCTTGATTAAAAAGGGTTACTAGAAAGGGCTAGGGAGGCATTAAAGATAGTGAAATAATTTACCAGACTGAAATAATTTTCTTGACTTAATCAGGATTAAAGACATTTTAAAGACAATAACTTTGTTATTATATGACATAATGTTATTGAAAACAGCATCTAGTACTAAATCACCTCTCCCTGGCCAGGGCCCCATTATGACACCTATCTAGAGAAACCATCTGAGGTCCAAACAAGGTGAGCCTTGGCTGGAACTAGAACAGCCCCTGCATCTGGGGCAGTACAGCACTGTGGTCTCCCCTCCTCTCCCTGGCAGAAGAGGCCTGGTTTTCTCTCCCCTTCATCTGTCCCCAGGGTTAAGGATTCTGGAGGGGCCAGGAGGACAGGTAGAGTCAGCCTGTTTCCAGAGGCAGCCTGAAGTCTGGACAGGCTCCTAGGACCAGGGCAAAGCAAGGTTGGAAGGAAAGGGAGGTTGAGGGCCCAGGAGGAGAGGGGGCCTGCCAGCACCACAGCACCTGTTGTTTGAAGGCTCTGGTTACGTAGCCCAAAGCAGTGCAGTCACAGTGGAGCCAGCAAGGGTTACATATCTGCGAGAGGGCAGGTTGAAGTCTGAAAGGCTCAGCACCAGAGGTGAAGAGACCTGAGAGACCATCTAGTCTAGTGATTCTCAAAGTGGGTCCCTGAACTACCAGCAGCAGCATCACTCAGATACTCATTTATAATGCAAATCCTCCAGCCCCAGCCCAGACCTACTGAATCATAAACCCTGGGGGCGAGGCCCAGCAAGACAGGTTTAAACAAGCCCTCCAGGTGAGTCTGACCCACGCAGAAGTGTGGGAACCACTGACCTAGTTCAAACCCCTTATTGCTCAGGTGGGAAAACAGACCCAGAGAGGGAAGAGGTCTTGCCTAAGGTGACAAAGCAAGCTACACTTTGGAGCTCATCCCCACGGGAAGAAATCATGCCTGGAAAGTTCGTTCTTGAGAGAGAGGCTGTTGATTGCAAAGTGACCGAGCCAATTTATTGAGAGATCTTGGTCAAGTTGCTTATTCCTGCTCTGGACCAAAGCATCTGCGTCTTTATGTGTGGGTCTGGGAGTGCATCATTTCCGAGCATATAACACTCTGGCTTCTGGTGATCATGCTACTGCAGCCACCAGCCTTGAGGACACAGTGCAAAATCAAAATACATTGAGACTTGTAACATTTCTTTAAAGATGACTTCCCATACCACTTTTCCAGGAAGCTCTTACAGGATGGGTGCCACCAAACTGAGGGATTTTTTAAAAATTGTTTTTAATTAAACAAAGAGAGAAAGACCTAGGATTCCTAAAACAGGAGATATAACCCAGGAGAGAGGCAAAGACGATCGCCACAATGATCATAAAGAAGAAGCTAGGATGGCAACTGGTTAGCATGTGTGGGGATCCAAACAGGAGGATGGGGGGCTCCGGGACTTCTATCATCAGGAAAATAAATGGAACAAATTATCTGATATATTTGATAGTGTGGAAAATAGTGACTTAGGGAACTAAGCCAAAGAAAAAATTAAGTTAATATCTCCAGTAAGGAAAAAATGTACAAGAAAGGACATATAATTATAGTACAGTGCTTAGCTTAGCAATAAACAATACTCATAATAATCCAGAGTGTAAATTTTGATTTTATCACAAATTATATTTTAACTACATGAGGGAGAAGAAATCGGGGCTAGGGTGTTGGAAGGGGGCATATTCTTCATCTATCATAAATGAAATTCAGAAGATAATGTCTAAAATTGATAAATAAGGGGCACCTGACTGACTCAGTCGATAGAGCATGCAACTCTTGATCTCAAGGTTTTGAGTTCAAGCCTCATGTTGGGCGTGCTGCCTACTTAATTAAAAATTTTTGCGGGGGGTGCCTGGATGGCTCAGTCACTTAAGCAACCGATTCTTAATTTTGGCTCAGGTTCGTGATTTCGAGCCCCACATTGGGGGCTGGCAGCACAGAGCCTGCTTGGAATCTCTCTTTCTCCCTCCTCTCTCTGCCTCTCCCCTGCTCGTGCTCGCTTGCTCACTCTCTCAAAATAAATAAACATTTAAAAATTTAAAATAGTCTTTAAATAAAAATAAAAACTTTTTTTGATAAATAAAAAACCATATACACAAGAAGAAATAGCTGAAAGGATTTGGGGTAGGGTGTGAGGTTAAGGATAGGTAGGACTGGAGATCACAGTTTTATGCTGTGTGTGACTTATAATATTATTTGACTTCACAAACAATGTAAGTGTATTATTTCACTTAATTCTTTTTTTAATTTTTTAATGTTTATTTTTGAGAGAGAGACAGACAGAGCACAGGCTGGGGAGGGGTAGAGAAAGAGGGAGACACAGAATCCTAAGCAGGCTCCAGGCTCTGAGCTGTCAGCACAGAGCCCGAGGTGGAGCTCGAACTCACAAACCACGAGATCATGACGTGAGTCAAAGTTGGACGTTTAACTGACTGAGCCACCCAGGTGTCCCTTCATTTAATTCTTAAAAAAAAAAAAAGTATGCATTATAGCCTGCAGCAAAGGGGCACACACTGTGAATGTGGCCTGTCTGGCTCAAACCCCAGCCCTGTCACGTGCTAATTGCAGGAGTTAGGCTTGTTGTTAAAATTTCTGGGCATCCACTGCCTCACCTGTGTCTCTCTGGCAAGGATGCTCTGAGGTAAGTAACATAGAGAAAGCACTTAGCCCATGCCTGGTGGCAGGAAGCACTTAGAAGAGAGGCTGCTACCATGACCTGCCGTGCTGCTCGGGTCTGGGGCATCTTGACTCAGAACCAGAGCCTCAGTGCTCACCCGGCCATGTGCTACCCTGAGTCCCCCTGGAGAAGCAGCATAGTTGCAAATCATCACCTAAAATTCAAAGTATTTCTACTTGTGCCACGGATTCGAATGAAATCCTAGCTTGTTTCTTTCCGCCCACTGCTCCTCCCAATCGGCCTGACTGGGCCATTAGGTCCTACCTCTGTTTCAGCTACACTGAAGGACAGCAGTGCGATGATGAGTGCCTCACCCCCAAGACTTCTCCAAAGTGTATTCTGCGTCCGTGACTCGGTTCATCCAAATATGTCCTCAAGACATGAGAACACTGTCCAGCCACTTGTATATGATGGAAGAGAGAGTCTCTTCCGGCCGCCTCCCCTCCTCCTCTGGTTTCCTTTCTGACTGACCACCAATCAGCTCACAGCTCTTTTGCCTTCCACAGGTGACCACCATGATCCCTTGGGTATTCTTGGCCTGTGCCCTCCCTTGTGCAGCTGACCCGCTGCTTGGTGCCTTCGCCCGCAGGGACTTCCAAAAGGGCTCCCCTCAACTTGTCTGCAGCCTGCCTGGCCCCCAAGGCCCGCCTGGCCCCCCGGGAGCCCCAGGGCCCTCAGGAATGGTGGGAAGAATGGGCTTTCCTGGAAAAGATGGCCAGGATGGCCAGGATGGGGACCGGGGGGACAGCGGAGAGGAAGGTAAGAGGCCCAGTGCCTGTCTCTCCTATTCCTGCCTGGGGTTGACATCCTCTGGCACAGAGGGAGTTTAGTTATGAAAACCGGTGTGAATTCCATTTCATTATAAACCAAATTAATGTCTTTTTAAAAAACAGAGCAGTGTATTCTCCTGAAAGGAACAGTAGGTATCAGATCTTGTGTTCCTTCGCCAGCTGCACCATTGACTTGCTGAGTTGCTTTAAGCAAGTCTCCTGATATATGATTCAGAACACCTTTGGCTGCAAGTGACAGAACTCAATTCATAGCCTTGAATGGAATTTATTGGCTCATGCAACCAGGAAGTTCAGGAGCCAAGCTTCAGCAATGGCTGGGTCTGGGAGCTCAAAGCTGTTGTCAAGGCTCTGCTTATCTGTGTGTGTGGGTTTTGTTTTCACAAAGGCTGGAAGTTTTGAAATGGCTACCAATGGGCTCGAGTCTAACTCTTCATGGTTTGATCCACAGAGCAAATCTCAGCATGACTAATCCTTCTAAATCGTATAGGTATCCCGGACCACCAATCCTTTTGGCCATGGAGGTGAGGTACTACGATCTTCCAGGACTGGGTCATGTGCCCACCCCTGGTGTGTGTGAGTGGGTGGTGAGTTGGTCATTGTGGTTGACAGCCTTGCTGGGACCACACGAAGTCATGAAGGAGGAGATGCCAGGCAGCCAGCAGACTGGACAGTCTCTACAGGCCCTTTCAGCCTTGACATTCTTTGTCTCAGAACTTTTAATGTCAGCAACATCCCTAAATGTATGTTTTAAGCAGTAGGGGAATCATAATAACTTTTATTTGTATGGCATTTTAACGTTGACAAAGCACTTTTGAGTATGCTGCTCCACTGATTGTCCATACCATGCTATGAAGGAGGTATTCTTACTATCCCCATGTTACAGATGAGGAAACTGAGGGTCAAGGGTGATTAAGTTGAGAACAGCACGTCATGGCTGCGAGACCTGAACTCTGGAAACAAACTTGGGGACCTGTTTTGGTGAATTAGTTAACCTTTCTTCATTCCTCAGCTGCTTCATCTCTAAAATAGAGATGATAACAGCACCTACCCCACAGGGGTCTGATGATGATAAAATATGACGTGTGAGGCATCAGCCTCAAGTAGATGTACAATAAATGGTCATCTCCCCTTAATTGATTGCTGAGATCATGTAATAGGCTGGTACCTGACTCCAAATCTAGACCTTCTCCTACCATACTAAATTAACTCCTCCAAAGCACCTCCTTCCCCACAGAATAACTATATAAATAATGGTAATGGCTTTGACTTGGGGAGGTATCACAGTGTGTCAAGCACTCATGTCATGGTATCCCATTCCATGGGATACCCCAGTGGTAGCTTCAGTCTGGACTAGTGCTCCAAGCAGGGCCAGACCGAGTTTTCCCTGACATTCATCTTACAGGTCCCAGAGGTGGGAGGGTATCTCTGCTATTGACTTTTTCTCCTTGATCAAGAGCCATGAGGATATAGGCTTGGCCATCTCTCCTGCCCATGCAGAGAGTCTCTGCTGAGAATTAAGGCAACACACCAAGGAAGGTGGTGTTAAGAGACAGAGTCCTGACCTGCAAAGCTGGGCCACTCTGGGACAAGTACAGGATATCATCCAACCACCTCTCCCTGACATACACATACAAACCCATCTCCAAAAAGGTCTTAAAAAGTAAAACCAGCTTTTCTTGAAGTTTCTTGAAAAGGTATCAAGAAGGAGGTACACCACATAACACACTGTAGAACTTCCTGATAAGCTTTCTTATCTATTTGTCTCACCCCAAAATCTCCAATTCAAAATGACTCAGTCTTTATTCCTCCTCACCTTTCTCCCTCTATTAAAGCAATAAGTTTTGCTTATTTTTATTTTTTCATGGGACAGTTTTATAATCTGACTTTTTCCCCATGTAAAATTTTTTTAATTACAAGTAATACACAAATAAATTCTTATGGTAATATATTCAAACAATACAAATAAAGCAAGAGAGCTCCTTAATTCCTACCCTTCTCATCTTCTTCTCACTTTCCAGAGGTAATTACTATTAATTGGATAGATGTATATCCTTCCTGGCCTTTTTCTACATAATTTATATATGTGCATAGTAATACCAGGCATTCATTGCCAGGCCCTTAACATAAGCAATCTGCTCCTGAAAATTAAATGAGAAATTTCAGTGAGAAAATGCTCTTTGGGAATCTATTTCCCAATTACGTAAAATAGAAAAAATTTAAATGCATTACATGTTAACTCAAAAGTTTAAGACACAGTAAAATGCCTACATATATGCATATAAGAAGCAAAGTACCTTTTTAGAATGAAAAATGCCTACAGCATTGCTTTTTGATCACCCAGTTCATTTGGTGGTTACAAACAGTCACCTGCGTACAATAATACTAGGATGACTTCTGGCACCAGCAAACTTCAGAAGCAGGCCCTCGATTAACATTCAGCAAACTTCAAACACCTACACCCAATTCTGCCAGTCTACCAATTATACCAATTATACAAGTGTATTTAGATATGACTCAAATCTTTACCCACTTTTGTTTTGTTTAAAATGATATATTGAATTTAGGGGACATAAATAGACATGTTTCCTGTATAATCATTAGCCAAAAATACTGTATTGAGAGAAATGCACATGTTATGAAATCTGGGTATAAAAAACCAAGGGTCATTCTACAGGGAAACATTACTTGGGGAATGTTCTTCAGGATATGCCAACTATATTCTGTGAGTGTTTACTATGGGCCAGCAACTCTCCTATGCACTTAAATGGTTGTAGAACTAGTTCGTGTTGTGGTTTCCTTTCAACAAAAAAGTTTCAGTCACCTGCTTTTCCCTCTCAACAGTGTACTTTAGAGAAGTTTTCAAATAGTACACATAAATCTCCTCACTTTTTTAAAACTCCTGTATAGAATTGCACAGTATGGGTAGACCATAATTTTGGAATCATTTCTCTTTGAATGTTTATTTATTTTGGGGGAAGAGAGAGAGCATTTACAAGCCGGGGAAGGGCAGAGAGACAGGGACTGAAGATCTGAAGCAAGCTCTGTGCTGACAGCAGAGAACCTGATGTGGGGCTCAAACTCACAAACTGTGAGATCATGACCTGAACTGAAGTCGGATGCTCAACCAACTGAGCCACCCAGGTGCCCCATGAATCATTTCTCTTTGGACAGGCATTTAGTTGTCCCTAGTTTTGCTATTATAAACAGTGCTGCACTTAAACTCTTGCACTATGGACAGGGACCTTGTGTACTAGGCAGGGCTCTTACTAAGATTGATATGTTGAAGTCAAGAGGCTTCTTCCAATTCTTTTGTCAACCCATTTCCAGCACAGCCCATTGAAGGACTGGTCTGGCAGGCAAATCAGACTCTTCCCTAGAAGGCAGGGAGAAGGAAAGGGGTGAACTGTTATAAGTTATTCTTTTTTGCCCTGATCTACAGTGGTTCTGGAGGGTAAGTATCACCATTCCCATTTTCCAGATAAGACTGGGAGAAGTGCCCCAGGTTATACCAGCAGGATTTTCATCCATTTCTATGTGACTCCAAAGCCTTCTTGCTCTTTCCATTACCCAAAGGCTCCTGCTCCAAGGATGGAAAGCCAAGGCCCACAGCCTCTGCCTAGTTCTGTGAAGGCCCCTCCATAACACCAGCTGCTCTGTCTTCCAGGTCCACCTGGCCGGACAGGTAACCGGGGAAAGCCAGGACCAAAGGGCAAAGCCGGGGCCATTGGGCGGGCCGGTCCTCGCGGCCCCAAGGGGGTCAGTGGTGCCCCGGGGAAGCACGGCACACCAGGAAAGAAGGGGCCTAAGGGCAGGAAGGGGGAGCCGGGCCTCCCAGGCCCCTGCAGCTGCGGCAGTGGCCACGCCAAGTCTGCCTTCTCAGTGGCAGTGACCAAGAGCTACCCAAGGGAGAGGCTGCCCATCAAGTTTGACAAGATCCTGATGAACGAGGGCGGCCACTACAACGCATCCAGTGGCAAGTTCGTCTGTGGCGTGCCGGGGATCTACTACTTCACCTACGATATCACCCTGGCCAACAAGCACCTGGCCATCGGCCTGGTGCACAATGGCCAGTACCGCATCCGGACCTTCGATGCCAACACGGGCAACCATGATGTGGCCTCAGGCTCCACCATCCTGGCTCTGAAGCAGGGTGATGAGGTCTGGCTGCAGATCTTCTACTCAGAGCAGAATGGGCTTTTCTACGACCCTTACTGGACCGATAGCCTCTTCACAGGCTTCCTCATCTATGCCGACCAGGACAACCCCAATGAGGTATAGACAGGCAGGTGTTGGGTCTCCAGGGAGGTAACCAGATCGTGGACTTCCAGAATAAGACCCCTCAACTCTCTTCTGAGTGGGAGTGGGACCTCCCAGCCTCGGACATTCCTCCTCTGCCCATTGTTTCCTCCATCATTAAATCCAAGCTTTTTTATTCATCCTCCCACCTCTCCATTCACTAAATTTTTTTAGTGTCCACTGTGTGACAGGCACTATGATATGCTCTGGAAGGTGCCTCTGTGAACAAGATAGACAGAGGCTCTGTCGTTGTGAGGCTTACATTCTAGTAGGAGATACAACTTACAAATAAACAATCAAAGAATATAATTATTGTTCCAGGATGGAGACACACATGCCATGGTCAAGAGTAACAGGAATTACTACTATAGTAATGAGACAAGGAAGAAGTTGAAACTGTTTTTAGATTTTACTTTTTTAGGTTTACTTACATAAGGTCTATAAATCTTAAGTGGACAACTCAATGAGTTTTTACACGTGCACACAGCTTGTAACTTCCATGTAGGTCACGAACAGAATATTTCCTCCTCTTCCACTCCCCAAGGCTCTCTTAAGTGCCCTCCCAGTCAGCACCAGGAAGAAGTTATTTGTTTTCAAGTTTACTTATTTAGTTTGAGAGAGAGAGAGAGAAGAATAAGAAGAGAGAGAGAATCCCAAGCAGTCTCCACGCTGTTAGTGCAGAGCCCAACGTGGGGCTTAATCTCACGAACCGTGAGATCATGACCTGAGCCAAAACCAAAAGTCAGATGCTTAACTGACTGAGCCACCCAGGCACCCCAGGAAGAAATTATTTTTAAGCTGAGTCCAGAAGCAGAAGACAGAGCAAGACAAAGGTCTGGGGGAAGGGGCCTCCTGGAAGAAGGAGCTGTGGGGCAA